ATGAGCATCTTGGTGGAGCGTAGCACTTAACGTGCATTAAGATACTTTATCTGCATGATGTCAATCTGCGGATCAGCGTCAAGTCATCTAATACTTCATTGTCTCTGGTCAGGCAGTCTGAGCAGACTTAGACTTGTGCCTTCAGCTTGCTTTCTGTCTTCACAGTGCAAAGCAGACTCTTGAGCTGCTGTTAGAGGTTTTATTCCCAGTGGTTTGGTGTAGGTGGGCTCTGCACCCTATGGTGGCTCTTACACTAGCTCTTTAATTGCAGTCTTTTCCTCTGGGCAAGCTCATTGACGAAAAGTGCAATCCTGGTAACGATTTAAATTTCACTATAGAATAAGAGAGATATAGAAATTTAGAACTATTTTCAACGCAGTTAATTAGGTATAGTTCTGAGAATCCTATGATAGTCCTACAGTAGATGATGAGATTACAATGTTAAAACCTCTATTATAGTTCAGAGCTTACTTTCCCTAAAGTTATTTCTATATGTGATGTAATTTCTGTGAGATAGTGTTCTTAAAAATAAAGTTTGCTTTTCCTTATCCCCAATATGCAGCAATACATAGAGGTATTATTTGATTGTTATGATTTAAAGAACCATCTGTCCTTATAATTCATATTCTTAAAATTGCCTCTTTTAATAAGGCCTTTTTTAATACAACTGGTAACTTGTTTTTAAAAATTTGCATTTTTTAGATTATAAGTGGCAATACCCATGACTAAGTGCTATTGGCTGCACTTTCTCTTAAACCTGTCCACATCTCTTCATTTCCACTCCCATAGTTTCTTACCTGGACCACTTAAATAACTTCATTGAGCAATTAATTCCAAAAGTAGAAGTAGAGGTGGCTGAATTTCCATCCAAGCCTGTGAAATAAGTCATATCAGCTGTTATGATTTGACAGTTAAGTTCATGAACTTGCCACTGTTTGCTTATGTTGCCAGGACTGTACAAACAACTTGGTAATATTTCATAAACTTGGCATATCAGTATCTCACAGCTGTGTTCATGTGACATGTGGCAGTGTCTTGCCGAGTGGTATTCATTATTGTTGTGTGTTTTTGTGTGTTGTGAGAATGTCAAAGCTTGAATTAGAGTGATAAACAAACATTAAACTTCTTAAACTTGGGGAGAGTGGAAGTGAAATCAGGGATACATTAGTCCAAGTCTACGAGGATAATACCATGAAGAAAATGACATTGTACAAATGGATTAAATGTTTTTCTGAGGGGAGAGAAAGCGTCACTGAGGAAGAGAGGCCAGGGTAGCCATGGATGAGCAGAGCTGATGAAAATGTAAAACTTCATTGAATTGTGCATCAAAATCATTGGCTAATTCTAAGAAGTATAGCAGACCAAGTAAACACTTGTAGAGAAACAGGAACATCTTAACTGAAAATCTCGGCTTGGGAAAGGGGTGACAAAACACCAGCCTTATGGCACAGTCTATATGAGTGAGTTTTTAGCCAGTAAACAAATAACTGTATTGGAACACCTTCCTTACTCACATAATCTGGCCCCAACTGACTTTTTCCTTTGCCTGAACTTAAAGGAAATATTGAAAGAAGGATATTTTGATGACATTCAGGACATCAAGGGTAATATGATGGCAACTATGATGGCCATTCTAGGAAGAGTCCAATATTGCTGTGAAGGGTGGACCAGCCACTGGCATCAGTGCATAGCTTCCCAGGGAGTGTACTTCAAAGGAGACCATGGTGATATTCAGCAATGAGGTAGCCAGCACATTTTCTAGGATGAGTTTGAGAACTTAATTTTCAGACCTGGTATACTATGTGTGTCCTAAGGTCTCTCTCATGGTTGTCTATCCTACACCAAGGAATCATTTGTTGGTTTTTATGACAGTGCCACACTGTTATAAGAAGTACACTTTTATCATAAGTTTTAATGCCTGGTTGAGATGAAATAGCCTTGACAACCTTGCACTAGGTCCCTTACGAATTTTTGTAAGAGGGCTTGTCCTAGACTGGGATTCAACCTTAGAATGTAGCTCTTCTGAATAGGGAAGTAATTTTGGGCTCTCTGGTTAACAAAAAAGGTAGATATACTCAAAGAGTGTGGAGAAAATTTCCTGTAAATCCATCGTACCTGATTCTGTGGATTTACTTTCAAGGGTTCTTCTTCCTTTGGTTAGGAGAAATTCTTGCTGGATTCTTTAAGGTGGATAGAGCTGCTACAAGTTGTGGATTTTTGTTATGCTTTCCTGAGTAGTTTGGTGGGGGAATGTATTAGCCACTATCACAACTCAGAAGTCTGGTAGATTCTTTTTATGGTTTATTTATTAAGCATGTGGTTATTTTTCCCGTACTAGGTTCGGAAGATCCAAAGATCAATAAGATAAAGAGTTTGCCTCTGAGAAACTGACATTCCCAGGATTTATTATAAATAAAGTAGTGGACTCTTTCCTTCTACTACTCAACTCCAGACTTTGGATCAAAGACAGGATAAGAGTTTTCCTTAAATTTATTTATTTCTTAATTTTGTGGGAAAAGTTGAGTGTACTTTTGGATATTCTTCACCTAATTCTAAAATTTTGGCTCTGGAAACGTTTAGAGGGCACCCAGTTCAAGTTCCTTTCCCCTCTTCTTTTTAAAAAGTCCTTTGAAAGGTGAGAAAACAGACTCCTAGAGAGGTGAAGTGACTGGTTACTATTGATACCGGATTTTTGACTTTGGATTTCCAGGCTCTTGGTCTTGATGATTCGATGAATGAATTGATGGACACAGGATGGACAGTAAGTTAGGTTTTATTTACAGAGGTATTATTACAGCTCTTACAAAGAGCCAAACCTTGCAGAACAGGATAAGATAGGTTTTATATAAGTGTTACAGTTCTTACAAAGAGCCAAACCTCCTTGCAGGGCAGGATGTGTCACAGCTCTTACAAAGAGCTAAACTTTGCAGAGCAGGATGCAAGTGTTACAGCTCTTACAAAGAGCCAAACTTCCTTGCAGAGCAGGGTATGTGTTACAGCTCTTCCTCTTCTGCTCTCTCTCTCCCTCAGTGGTCTGCAGCAATCTGCTGAGGTCTTTGCTCTCCTGTTCTCTCTTCTTCGAAGGTCAGCAACGATCTGCTGAAATCTTGCTCTTCTGCTCTATCTTCCTTGATGATCTGCAATGATCTGCCCCTAGGCTCTCTGCGCCAGGGTTTATATAGGGTTTATATATGAGAGCTTAGCTGATTGGTCTATAAAATAGACAAGTCAGAAGCAGGATTAAAAATGGACCAATCAGGGATGCACTGGAGAAATCGCCAGTGTTTTCCCCGATCAGCCAGGTCTTTTTTTGTTATTGGATACTGCGGTGGGAGGGGAAAGCTTCCCCTTTGGCTCCAGCCTGCTGGTTTCTGTGCCAGCTGCTGCCAAGGCAGAGCCCGCAGGTCCTCTAGCGCCACTCTACTGGAGCCTCTGGTGGGGGAAGGAAGCTCCCCTGCTTGCTCCAGCCTGCTGATTCCTTTGCCAGCTGCTGCCAAGACAGAGGTGGCAGGTCCCCCAGCCCTGCTTGGCTGAGGTGCCACTTTTCTGGTATCACTATGATCACATGTTCTTTGGTGTCTAGTTCTGTCCCTATGCTCTGCGTTGGCAAGGACCCATGCAATGCTCTCTGCAGAGTAGTACAGGACAACGTCGAGCTTGCTGCACACACAGATGTGAGTGTGATGTGTGCAATTGTAATCAGAAGGGTCCAGAAATACTATTATATTCCATTAATAATAAAGATTTGTGTAAAAATGGCAGTTCAACCTTGACATAAATGCTTGACAGTTATTTCTGTCTTTCCTTTCCTTCCTCTCTTATCCCTCCAAATCTTCTGATTGAATCTTGGTATGGATCTTTACAAACTCTTCTTGCCTGTAAGGGGGCATTTCTAATTTAAAAGGGAAGTTTGTTGAGGACAGCTATAGCAGCCTTAGAGGGAGGGGAAGTATTAGCTAGGAACCATGGTGCCAAGTGAGAGAAATTGAACTTGAACTAGGGAAAGCAGAAAAGAGCATTCACAGGTTAATGTAATCGGGAAAGGGAGGGGTGGAGTCAGCATGAGGGACCTAGAACCAGGGACTGAAACATAGTGAGGAATCTGTTCATCACTTGGCTCAGCTTCTCTGAGCATCAGCTTGTTTGCACGGCCTGGTATCTCACATGGCTGAGGTCACTATTTCTGCAGCTTCAGCCTCTTATTTCCACAGTCCTGAGACCACCCAGAAAAGGTCCTCTTTCCTCAGCTCCAGTTGAGGAGTGGGGGAGGGGGGTGGTGGAACACCAGTGTAGAGTTTTGATTGGCTGACTTGGGTCATATGTCTGTTCCTGGGCCAATCACAGTGACTGATGTATGAGACTTTATGATTGGCCTAATTGGATCAAGTGGCCACCTCTTGGCACAGGTTGGAAGCACCCAGTGGGTCAACCTCATTTGAAAAAGCTTAGATAAGTGGTGCCTGTGCTCAGTGGGTAGGGCCCTGGCCCCATATACCGAGGGTGGTGGGTTCAAACCCGGCCCTGGCCAAACTGCAACAAAAAAATAGCCAGGCGTTGTGG